TCCTCCTCGCCCCTTCCGGGGCAGCTGCAGAATAGATGCCGTCCTCTCTCCTTCCCGCCCTTCTCTGCTGTTGCTCTCCTCCAGAACTTCAAGTGAGTGATTCTCTCTCTCTCTCTCTCTCTCCGCCTCGAGCGATTTTTGTGATATGCATCTGCTGATTTTTGTGATATATGCCTCGAGCGATTCAGGTGAGTGAGCCTTAAGATGTCGTAGTGTGTAATATGCATCTGGTGCTTCTCCATCCATTACGTTGGTTATTCTATTCTTTCCTCCCTTTTCGTCTTCTTACTTGCATTGTGCCAGGCCTCCTTCCTGCCCAGATGCGTGAATCTTCGTCTTCGTCTTCGTCTTGTTAATCTTGTCTTTGTCTTTGTGTATGCATTTCTTCAGAACCTGGAAGATACGGACTGTTGAAGAATTGGGGCAAATCTTGGATCCAGTCTGCTTCACCCAGTCGTTCGGTACCACCGTTTGAGTTTACGAAGCGGAGGATACCTAGCCAGGGCTTGAATTTATCTGGTAAAGTATGCAATGGTGATTGACTTGCGAATTTGACTTGTCACCGTTTTGGTCATCATTCCTTATATCTGGCTTGCGAATTAAGCCTGCCTTTAAATTCCACTTAATTTGAGGTGATGGGGTACTACCGAATTATATATTACGTTGAACTGAGATTATTTCAGACTATAATAGCTTGTTTTTCTTTTAAACATGCTCAAGCTAAAGACAACTTCACTGAGCCATCCATCGAAAAGAAATATACAGCAGCGTTTCGAACCCTATTCATATGCCAATGCATCTAACGTGAAGGTGATCACAGTACAGACAATTCAGGACATCTAGAGCATGTATGAAGCATAGAAATGATTATAATAAATATAGAATGAACAACATAGTCAACTTTTTTCTTTATGCTTCATTTATTGTGTTGTAAACTATCATGTTAGTTACTTATGAATCTTGATTCACTCTCCTGGCTCAGTCAGAATATTATGTGTTAGAATGCACATCTTTGTCCTTTATCTGGTTCACTAAATCTAATAAATATTTCACATCCAGGTTTAGTTTTATGACTGTATCTCTAGAAGTCAGACACTAAGGTCCATGGATTAACACCTTGCAGTTTGATGCTCTTCCAGGAAAGAAGTTAACTGGGTGTGTGCTTGGATTCATGATTGTCGATGGAATGATTAGTCACCATTCATGTACAGCATATGCCTTGGATGGTATGCTGACATTCAATTGATTTGATCACATAAGCTAACTTTAGTCATTCCAAGGAAAGTATTTGTTCAAGTTAGTCTACTTAAAATCAGATTCTGCAGATGAACAAGAAGACTTTGGAGTACGTGCAGGATATCTGAATGATGAGTTGCATACCTTCTGGGTTCTCGTGAGGAAATTTCAGCTTCCTGCTGTTCTGGTTATAACATTGTTGTTGGGATGGAGGCATCCTCTTACTCTTGCCATCAATGTTGCACTTCTTCTGTTTAGCACAAGGCCTAACCCTTTTTCAGTTTATATGTTCATTGAGCAGGTCAGTTGGATGCTTCCTACCTTGTTTTCCTGTTTCTGGACATATATCATTTGATGAGCATGTCCTATTTGTTCTTTTAAACATGAACTTCAAAGAGTTATGCCATTCATTCTGATTTTGATTGGATTTTCAAACTTCCACAGCTAAAACAGTTATCTTAATGCTGTTATTTTCGATAAGATAATGTACTTATACTTTGATCTTATAGGTTGGTGACAATTCGTTTAAATTCTTTCAAGAAGCATTCTTATGGAGAAAAAAAAAGGAAGCATTATTATGTTATCATATTATCAGTCTACACACTAGAATGTACATACATTCTAGTTTATCTTTCTCTTTTTTTGCCCATAAATAACCCTGAAGTTGTCAGGACTTGAGACAATTTCAGAGCTAGGACAGACGAGATAACATAGAAGTTGTATATAGAGGAACCTCAGGATTTCTATATTTTAGATTAGCTTAGATGAAATTGACCGCAACTTTAACAGATTTAGGTGAGCAACTAAAGCAGTTGAAGATAAACAGTGAATTAATATCAGTCATTGACTAGTTTCATCCAATTGAGCAGTATTCAATGTTTTGGAAGATCAATGAGCATGTTGCACCTAAGTTTAAAACTGCAGTGACCACTTTTGATAGTGTTTCTAGAATATTGATAAATCACCAAGTTCCCAAGAAATTATTTTGGACATCTATGTTAGCTTTAATGCTTCATGATGCAAATATTTGGCTACAGGTTGCAATACACAAGAAAACTAGTTTGGATAAGATGGATAACTGGGGTGTAGAAGAGATAGACGACAGATGTTGAAGTAATGAAAAGTTTGAGTTTCCTTGTTGAGGAACTTCTAAGAAAAATATTGGCAAGGACAAACGGAAAAAAGTAACCACTTAATAAAAAAGAAAGGAATATGCTATGGTTGTTATAGCATTAAACTCAGGAGCTAGTCGAGCTTCAAGTGATACTTCCGTAAATAGAAGGAAAGCTGTTGTCAGTTGTAACTCTGTTTCCTCTTACGAGTCTTGACTGCTGATATTGTAAACTCATTATTCACGAATATGGATGTATATATTAATTTTAAAAGCCCTTCTATCAAATTCCTTGTCTCCTCTCCAAAGCTATGGTCTTTGCCATTGTGTTTAGCTATATTGTTTCTTAAAGGCTTGCGACAAAATTCTAATATAAATATATTATACGGTGATAGTCCTCCATAGGTATTAGGTAGTTGGTAAATTGGCGGTAGCAAATCTTGTTAGATATAAAACTTGCTTGCGCTTTTAGATTTTTCTACTCATTGAACTTCAATTTATGTTGTGTTATTTTTCCTAATGAAGCATCTTTCTTTCCAAAATAAAAAGCCCCACGTTTCTGCTAATTCTTTCCTTTCCAAGTCTTAAATGCTTAAGGATATCAGAATGCTATTAGCCTGGTAGTCCCATAAATGTACTGCACTTGGTTTTGAATGATTGATTAATGATATTAGAGTGATATTTAGCCTAGTAGTCCCATAAATGTACTATACTTGGTTTTCAGTGTTTGATTAAGCCTAGTAGTCCCATAAATCTAATCTATTGATTAGATTGTGATTGGCCCCTCTCAGACCAAATAATCTTGATCCCTTGGATATTCTATCAACATACCAACAAGGATGGTCAAATTTGTTAGAATCAAACAAAATCAGTTGGAATCAGTGACCTGTAGTTGTCTTCTACCTGTTGCCCATTGGCTACCTGCTGACCATTTACTTAATGCTCGCTCATCCTCAACCTTGCTGTCACGCATGTGCATCTTTGGTGAGGATCAGAGAAAAAGAGGGTATATAGCAAGGAATGAGATTAGGTGCCGACGATGCATACTGGTCCATGGCGGAACTGGTATGTACCAGAAAAAAAGACCTTAATTAGCTTAAGTTAGCATTTAATCATGTCAATGGAAGAGTAAACCCTTAACCTATCGATGATTTCATAAGCAAGTAAGAATAAGCATGCTGTAACTAATCCTAAATTATCCCTTAACCATATCTAAATGTAAGAAAACAACCGAAATTAGGCCTTATAGAAGATTAATGTTCCTAATAATGCAAGAATAAGCCTCTAATTAGCTGTAATACATAGTAGGATGATCTCTTAAATAATGTAAGAAGTTGAAACATGGTACAATGAGCTTAATTTCCTTAATTGCCTCTAATTAGATGACAATCTATCACACTTAATCTATCTAGACATGCATGAATAAGTTTCTAATTAGTCATTAAACATAGTAGCTAAAGCTATTGATTCATGCAAAAAAATGAAACATGATCAATTTATGCTCTTTATACTAGAATACCTCAAACTAGGTCTTAATTAGTCATTAATCCCTAATCAATCAATAATTACCAATAATCATTGGCTAACTACATAAAATGATGAAAAAACACAGAGAGAAGACAAGTTCCACTCAACCTCGAGATTTGAAGCCACTTTTATTCAAATCGATCTCCATTGATCGCAACTTGAAATCGAAAGAGCGAAAGAAGGTGAGTAGTGAGATTAAGAGTGAGAAAGAGAAAAATGAGAGTGAAAAAGAGAGTTAGTGAAAGATATGGGGAGAGGAGGCAGCCAAGAGGGGTGTTAAATAACCCATAGAATTGGACCAACTGTCAAATTTGATCCTTGGCGCATGGTACCAATTGAAATTGAACCATCACGATTGGTAGTGGTCGAAGTATAGTGAGTGTATCGGTCGATACTTGTTATACCGGCCTGATTTTGCTCTAAATTGGTTGGTTTGAGTTTCGGGTAGTGGCCGAGCTATATACTGGCTGTATTGGGTGAAATTGCAGTCCATACGATATAGTATACAGCTATATATTACCAACAAGTATATACTATATTCATATATTGTATATATCTAGATGTATTGTATCTTGGGTTATATATACATTTCTTTATTCTTATATTATTTTTTTTCATATGAAATGTGCCTGTGATTTATTGCCTTTTTCTGGTATATTAATTTTATGCAGATCAATAACATGTATGGATTATAGGAGGCTACCATGTGCTTAAGCAATGAGGTGTTTTAAGACAGTTTTTATTTTATATTTATATATATATATTTTAAAATATTTCAAATTTGTTTTTTTATTTATATTAATTATTTTTACTGATTTTGGTTTCTTTAATCACAAGTATATTACTGTTGACTGATTCCAATTTTTAATTTCAATTTTGCAATCTAAGAATCACTAAGCAGGTCAGCATAGTGACACAGGATTTAACTACTACATGAGATTACAAATTTTAGCTTGTTCATTTTTTTTTGTTGAGGTGACTACTTTCTCAACAGTAAAGGTCTTTCTTTTGTATCCAACAGGATCCTCCTTGTACTTACACATTGTGGAACAAAGAGCTTCTCTCTCTCTCTCTCTATATATATATATATATGTGTGTGTGTGTGTGTGTGAATTATGATGATTACATCTTTATTAAAAGGGAGTCCAGTTGATGACCAATGTTGCAGTTATGACCCATGTTGCAGTTATGAAGATAACAATTTGCTGTTCTGATTCTACATAATAGATCAAATGCTCAACTTCTCTGTTGCTATTTGCTTCTGTTATTATCTGGCTAGTTTGCATCTGTCTTACAATAAGACCTTAAAATCTTGCAGTTGCATGAAAGAGATCTTAATCGAAGTATTGGATGGTACAAATCAAAGGTGAGACTTGTCCATGTTAATTATTAAGTCCCTGCACATTGCTTAATGTTTTTGGAGAATGTTATAAGAGTGAATTGGAAAATATGTTTGTTTAAAATCTTGCATATCTTACAACTTGTTGATTGCATCACCTTTTTATGGGCTTTACAGACTGAGGCTTACCTTCCTACCAACTCGTTAAACATTATCCATAGTACCCATACTAATTTTTGATTATTTTGTGGGCATGTACCCCAGGTTTTTCACCGGAAGAAAGTTAAAGTAGAAGATTACAAGTTCTTGTGCTTAGCCACGGTTGAACAAGGGGACACGAAGCTGAACCTGCTTGGAATATTAGGCAGCTGGTGGGTGGTTCATACATCGAAAATTTAGGTTATGATGTTGGCGCTCTCCATATCATGGATAAATTTTGTGTCGCTCAACCTGAAGAAGACAAAGTTTATTTTTGATGTTTTTCATTGTGAATGTCGTTCTTGTCAGGGTTGATCTGGTGGGCTTTTCCGACTTCTCTGACTCTAGTCCATGTGAGGAGACCGTCCCAATTTCGTTTTGTTTCAGTTGCGTGTTTGTCAATAGAGTGAACTTTGATGAAGGGAAAGATGAGCAGTAAATAATCTTTTCTCCGGTCGTACCCGAGCCGACTCATCCCCGGTAAAAGAGGGAAAAAAGCTTTTTTGTTTAAATAAAGAGTCCGGTACCACCCAACATGATCGTCGTCGTGGAGATGGAGAAGGCCGCCCCAGAGGCAGTGGAGCGCTTACGGTAGTGTGACACAACAACCTAATATTCAACTACGACAGTGGTGGAGCAGGCCCAGCAGATCGGAGCCAGCAGGCCCAAGGGGATCTTAGAAGCACCGACGAGCTAGCAGTGGAGAGCTTACGCTACTGTGACAGAACAACCTTATATTCAAAGACAGTGGTGGAGCTGATCCAGCAGATCGGAGCCAGCAGGCCCCACGGGATCATATAAGCACCGACTAACCTCATCGATGCCTCCAACTGCCAGAACTTTGTGCCCCATGACCCCATCAGTGCCGTGGCGGAGCGATTGGTGTACGTTGTTGCATTCACATGCCAGAAGCCGGTGGTGGAGGAGCGATTGGTGTACGGACTCCTTTGTTTTTATTTCTTTTTCTCCCTCTTTGTAACGACGACTTGAACTTACGTTACGAGGGGACCAAAGGGACGTGGCGAGCATCGACTGGTGCATCGAGCGGAGTCACGTCCATCCGGCCACGACCCAATACATGTTGCCTCCGTTTTTTTATCCTTCCTAGCTGTCTTTTCTTTTCCGATCATTAATAGGGCAAAGGGCGGCGTTCTCTTGTAAATTCTTGTTGTTTTCTTCGTGTATCGTGGTCACCATCTGTCATCACCTCTTCGACGTCCCCTTTCCAGGTACACCCACCGATCCCCCCTCATCGCTCTCTCTCTTCTCGATGACGATGACGATGATTGATGGTAGGGATAAGAGAAAATAAGGGAAAACATCTAATTTCTTGTTCGTTCGCTGCTATGGGTAATAGTAGATGCATCATATGAAAAGATCGCCTGTTTTATTTTATTTTTACCTTCTCAGTTTGTGATCGGGAAGGGAGGAGAGGGAAGATAGGGAGTGAGGTTGTGAATTTTTGTTTAATTCGAAAAAAAAAATTTCTGCACCAGTTAGTTTTGGTTCGTGTTATGTTCATTATATAAACGGCTAATCATTCTTATTTTTCCTTCCTTTCTTTTTCTTTTTTTCTTCGTATTTTTCTTTCCCATAAATTCTTAGGTTTATGGACGTACAATAACTCATGTTTCGTCTCAAGACTGTCGTTGTCTTACGCCCTTGTATTTATCCATGCATTGTAATTCCCTGGCATCTTATCTCTTGCTCATCTGAAGTCAATATGCCCTTGTATGTATATATAAATTATATGTACAAGCATCATTTTCAATAGGTTTTGACTATTAAATTCTGTTGCAACTATTTGGTTACCTGATGAAGAATATCTTAGTTAGATTAACGGCCAAAATCAGGATGTTCTTAATATGGACAAAGTTCTTTATCTGTATCCGGTTGATCATGAGGAGATCTTGTGCTAAAATATTGAAAAAAATAGTCTTTTATGATTGAGACTTTATTTGTCTCGATCTTAGTAACTCTATAGTACAGCGAGGCTTTTGCTTAAACATCCAGCATATAAAAGGAAACACCTAGTAGGTGACACTTTTTAACCCAGAGGAAGACAAACTCAGCATATAAAAGGAAACATCAAGCATACTTTATCAAGCATACTTTTTCTGGACTTAACCCAGAGGAAGACAAACTCGGTGATCTGCAACACCTAGTAGGAGACACTTTTTAAAGGTTTCTTTAATTAGCCAGCTTGTGCTGGATGAAAATGTCTTGATAAGCATAATGGTATCATATGTATATATGGTCTCAGGAGACAAACTTTCCACTTTTCAGGTATCAAAGGAGAAACTGTGGTTATGTGACTAACTTTTCGTTACCTTATTGGTAAACTTTATCACATTAGATGCTGTAAAAACAATGGTTTAGGTGTTTAAGGAGTTTGGCAGTTCTCTATAATACATTTGATCAAAGAGCAGAATCTGAAACTTCAACTGAACCTTTGCCACTTTTTATCTACTTCAAAAAGCATGTGGTCAATGTTAAGATGTCGAAGGGAAAGGTCGATTTGTTTTGAGATCCGTATTCTATGCATCTAATTATTAATTTTACCAAATATAGTATCAGTGTACTAAATACAAATGTTCTTATATTCTAACTGAGAAATCAGTTGAAGGTCTTAACTGTTCTAACTCTTCTGGTGAAAACAGACTGCTTAATGGACAAATTGCCTGCAGTTTGAGTTGCCTTTTTATTGGTTCTATGTCTCTATTTCATTTCCTTAGTGAACGAAAACCTAATTTCAATTTTGTAAGTGTAAGTAGCTTCTACTACCTTCTGGAACGGCAACTAATAGTGTAGAAGCCAAATTACATGAGCATTGTTCTGTAATGCCTTCTTGTTTTTTGTTTTAGTTTCTGCATCACAAGAAACATTCTAAATCCAAATAAAAAATTATCTAAATCATCGCATTTAGAATTTTAAATGTTTGTGTTAACCGTTTTATGTTTCTATTTCTGTTTAGAATTTTTTACAGACCATTATTCTTTTGCCCAAGTCTAAACTAGCAAATCTGCTTCCTGAACTGCACCAACTGTTGGACTTTGAAAGCCATTGAAAGTGTCTAAACCTAAAATCTGAAAGTAAAAAACCATGTTTCAAAACCTTTGTTGAACCATCACCACGGTAAGGATATGTGGTTATATAAAGCAATGATTTGAAGCCCTGACGAATGTAGAATTCTGCATTTTCACGTTTTTAATCTTATATAGTCATGGAAGTAAAAGTGAACATGGATTTTTTCATCTTCATTTGGCCTATGCTGTTTTTGTAAGCTCTAAAGATATTTATGGAGCTCATTGCATTTCTGATTTCTACTGGATCTTATTTTCGAAAATGCTTTTATTTCTTCTGATTGTTTCTTTCTATATCTAACTGCAGAGCAATGATAAAACTTTTCAAAATTAAGGACCAAAAGCGGGAGGATGCAGCAAATTCCAACGGAAGCGCTCCTGTAAAGAAACAAAGTGCTGGAGAATTGCGTCTTCACAAAGGTCTGTCGAAATTCAAGTGGTGTTTAGAGTCATTTTGACTTCTTTTGTGGTTTTTTTCTTTCTCTAAATGTCATTGGGCGCTTTCCAGTACGGACTTCGTAAACTGAACCAGTTTTTTCTTTCTCTAAATTCAAGTATTTATGCATATTATCTATCAGTGCTCCATTCTAAAGTTGAAATCCACTATTAGGTTGTGACAAATTTCAATGTTTAGAAGTTTACCATACTAATGTAATTGATCTATATATTTACCAAACTACTCAAATGGGTAGAAGTTTAACTTAGATATTTACCATACTAATGTAATTGATTTTAGGGAAAGATATGTAATTGATTTTATGATTTACCTAAGGCATGTGGATCAATAAACTCAAATATATTTCTCTGACTCAGGCAAATTACCCTTAATCCTAAGAGCTTATTAAAGTCATGACCACCTAGCCCAAATGTACTTGTTTTAGGCTTCTCTCTTATATTGACCTGATATATACTTCGTCTTTGACTATTTACATTCACTACTGACAAAGCAGGATATCTTCTATGTTATGTTTTCAACCTAAAAATGGATTTTTTTTTTTGTATGGTTCAAAATCTTCAAACTGGAAGTTTTTCGTGGTTCACTCTTAATGGCGCATCAGATGATGTTGAGTTGAATTGATGGACCTGATTTTTTTGGTTCTTCTTTATCGAATTCATTGATGTGTAAAGCTTTCATCGTTATGGTGTATGCTGATGTTAAGATTGGTCTTAAAACAAATGTGTTGGATCTAGAGCATATGTGTATTTACACTATCTCATGTTGGAACATGTTATTGGCCATTTGTTCTGACAGATACTATAACTGCAGTTTCACCTTTGAAGGTGGCCTGAGTTGTTTATGGCATATTAGCTTTTTTAAATAACTTGTTTTTTAAGTATATTTTTCAAATTTATGACTTGGAAGTTTGGTGATAAAAAAGTCCCTGTCCTTTAAATTTTTGCTCATTTTGTGCAATTTTCCATGGAAGAACAGGTACAAGAGTTTTCATGTTCTCTTTTATGCATTCTAAAGGAACATATTCAGAGTTTTCTGCACATTGAAGAATCTGTGCCACACTCTTTGCTAGTTAATCAATAAGATGGGATTTTTCTTTTGTTATCATAGATCACTTAGTCTCAAAAAGTGTGACCTGCGAAGTTAGATTATTTTTCTATTGTTATTTTTTCTATGAACTAATAATTCTCTTTTAGGACAAAAGGTCCCTTGTTAGTATATCTCCTTTGGTGGCAAAGGCTTTTTGTGAACTGGAAACACATCTTTACATGCTGAAGTCATCTTGGCTAACTTTTCTGCAGGAATTTTAAGAATTTAGTTTAAATAATATTTAATCCAACTAATGATTACTCTCAAAACCAAATCTCTCTGTAGTAGATTTCTTTCTTTCTGCATTGTGCTTATACTATTCTTGTTTTTGGTAAAGTATTAAGGTGCTATTATGTGTTATGTGGGTACTACCATATCTCATCTCATCAGCTATTAATTAGTAAACGTAAACCTCTACATTTTTGTGCAATTTCTTTTGTTCTAGTATTGTTTAATATCTTGCAGTGGTATTAACTATATGATTTGTTTTGTTTTGCAATTGATAAAGTTTTGGGGCCCCTGATACAAGTGACCTGCTAACAAAATCAAAGCAAATTAATCTAAACAACTAATCAAATCTATCTCAATCTCTTCCATTCCAGTTCTGATCAACAACTCAAGCTAGTTGACTTCAGGCCGCATCTGTGCTACATTTCAATAGATGTAGCCACTGTGTTGTAGCAAATCTCTAGTCATTGTATTGTTT